GGGGAAGACAAGGGAGGGAGTAAAGATTTGAGCAACAATATACTCTACCACAGGGTTTATCCTGTTTGTTTCTGACTGTGGAGGCTGTCCTTATCTGGGGCAACCAGGCACTGTGATGAGATGATCTCCTGGATTACCTCCCTGTTCCCTTGGGCACTAATCATGATACACCACATTTATTCTTTGCAGATTATTGCTCCCCCTGAGCGGAAGTACTCTGTCTGGATTGGAGGCTCCATCCTGGCTTCTCTCTCTACCTTTCAGCAGATGTGGATCAGCAAGCCCGAGTATGATGAGGCAGGGCCCTCCATTGTCCACAGGAAGTGCTTCTAAAGTCAGAACAGATTCTCTGGGGATCCCCCTTGAGACTGCTCTGTTACCAGTTATGAAACATTAAAACCTGCAAGCCTTACTTCTCTGTGTGGGGCTTTTTTTCCACCCTGGGCTTTTACATAGTGCTAAGGCCTTTTCACTCCTTATTTCTAATCCACACAATGATCCTGTGAGATGCATATATTCCCATATTAAAGATGAGGAAATTGAGGCTCAGAGAAGTTAAGGACTTGCTGAAGATCACAAAACCAAGATTAAAATCTAAGTGTGTCTGACTCTAAAGCTAGTACTCCTCCTATACTACTTTGTTTCCCTTTCCTTGAACATGAATAAGAATGAGGGCTAAATGACTCTTTGGCAGGGGTGGGAGGTTAAGAAACAAAGGCTTTCAGAGATATAAGTCCTTGTGCTCAAGGGCAATACACAGGGAACATGACTGGAAAGAGAAACACAAGGTTTTATAGGCTGTGACCTATAAGTGGTTCAAACACAATGTTTGAATTTGGATGGAGAAAGATCATAGTGGGCTTAAGATCTCTATGAGGCCCTTTGTTATTGAGGATTAGGCTGTACCCTGCCCCAAAACTAACCAAGAAAGGAGGAGCACTCTTAGGAAGAATATTTTTTTTCTTTCCCTCCTCTCCACCTCCTCCTCCTCCTTCTCTCTCTCTCTTTCTTTTTATTTGTTCCCCACTCCTGCCCTTGGTCAATTCTGTTAAATTTCACAAGTATTTTCTGAATTTTTGGCATCTCTTATTACTTGGTAAGGCCCCGCGAAATTTACGTATCCAGCAAAGATGATTCTTGCCCATCAAAATCTTCACTGCATAAAGTGAGAGAAGACACATACAAGACAATGATTTGAGGTGCAACAGAAGCACCCACAATGTGCAATGAGAAAACAACAAGGGGTAATAAGAATAGCTGACATTGGTCAAGAGCTCACAATATATAAGGTCCTGGGTTAAGTAAGAGCTTTCCATGGGTTTCCTCACTTAATCCTCACCATAACCTCTTAGCAAATACTAGTATCACTCCCATTTCATAGCTAGTTTACAAGTTAACTTGCTCACCCAGCTAGCTAATAGCATAACTAGATTCCCACCTTTGCCTGGTGTACCCTTCGCTCTCTCAAGGGTAATCAAGTCCCACCCTTGATGCTCTTGAGCAGATCCCACTTGGCTGTGAGCCTTCCCAGACACACCTATTTGGAGACAGTGGGCCCCAGTGGAAGAGCACAGACCTCAATGTCAGACACTCTCCTTCTACCATCCCTACCATTTGTCCTCAGGGGTTGGGGGGAGAAGCATGTTTTACAAAAATCCTTAGTGGATTTAGGTCTTAGGACAGGTTTCTCAGAAGCAGACCCTGAAGTGAGGATACACGGGCAAGTGATTTAAGGAAGTGCTCACAGGAGAAACAGTGAGCAGAGTAAGAGAAGCAGAAGAAGAAAAGGGAGGAAGCCCAGTAGGGGACCTCTCTGATATGAGTCCCTGAGTCCCAGAGCAGGTGGCTTCACCCCAGTCCCGAGGCAGCACGTGTAAAAGCCTGACTGGATGCAACTGGGCTTTCATACTGGCCTATCAGGGATTGGAAAGGCACATTCTGGGGGGAGGTAAAGTCCCAGGCTTTCCACAGGTGCTGGGAAAGGCTTCAGTAGGTCAACAGCAGTCTTGCAAAGAGCTGCAGGCACAGGCTGTTGGGAGAGAAAGCATGGTGAGGAGGCCAGAGGGCGCGCACACACACACACACACACACACACACACACACACACACACACACGATCCAAGGAAATGTGGAGCACTGACAATCCCTGCTATAGAGGAATGCATCAGACTGGGAGAAGATGGGGAGTCTGACTGGTTGTTCCTCACCCTGCCCCAACCCAGTCTTGCCTCAAATCAAGAAGCGTTGTCCTTGATGTCTTCACTGGAAGTCACATCATGTGCTGATAGTGAGGGGGACATGGATGGGTTGCAGTGGCTTGAGGAGAAAGGAAACGCAACAGGAAGTCAACTAAAGATAAATAGCAATAATGTCCCGGGCACTGAAGGTCATACTGAAGGAAGCCATTAGTGAGTATGGAATGTGTACTGGGTGGTAGCTGTGTGCAGGTGGTAAGTGCTGCTGGTGGGTTATCTTTGTTAACCCTTACCCCCCAGGGCTATCGAGCCCACACTCTTAATTACTACTTAAATGCCTCCCTTTGTGATTAGATGTATCAGTCAGAGTGTATTCTGGGAACTTCTTTAATACAGAGGTTGCTGAAATAGCCAGTAAACTATATGAAAAAGTGTTTCGCTGCTTTAATCATCAGGAAAATGCAGATTAAAACTATATACTGCAGACTGTGCAAAATGAAAAAACTTACAATACCAACTATTGTTAAGAATGTGGGACAACCACAGCGTTCACTCATGATGGTGGCAGTGTCGATTGATACAAACACTGTAGAACTATCTACTGTTTGGAAGTGTTTGCTAAAGCTAAACATACAAATAACCTATCACATAGCAATTCCACTCACAGATATTACCCAAGAGAACTACATGTCTCTACTAAAAGATATATGGAAGAATATTTGTGGCAACCCTATTCATGATAGCCCTAATCTAGAAACTCATAAATGTCCAGCAATAGTAGAACGGATAAAATACATTATGGTATTGCGACATATTGAAATATTATACAACCACAAGAATGAACTATAGCTACATATACAGCATGGTTAAGTTTCATAGATATCATGTTGAATGAAAGAAGTACTTACTATATGATTCCATTAATATAAAGAGCAGGTAAAACTATTGTTTGCTGTTAGAAGTCAACAGACCATTGATTACATCTGGTGGGTAGTAAATGGCAGGACAAATGGGTGCTGGAGATGCTAGCAATGCTCTATTTCTTTATCTGAATCCAAGTAACATGTCAGTTTATGAAAATTTCATTAATCTGTACACTTATGATCCATATTTTCTTTCCTACGTATTACATTCTACTATAAAGTCTAAAAAAGTAAAAACTTTTAGTAGCTCTATTAGAGGGTTGTTGCCTGTCTGCACCTAAAGTTGCTGACAATTTCCTCATTTAACCTTCACAATGACCCCAATGGCAGTGAAGACCGATCTTCTGGGCGCTGAGATCCTCTCTTAAACTTTTTTTGTATGAATATTTTCCAAGTTTGAGTTTTCGTAGATAAAGAAATGTAGGCAGTATTTTGATACAGAGGTGGTTGTAAGAGTGAGAGCAGAGGATGGTGACAGACTTTAGCTGTTCCAGGATCTATTAGTGCTCCATCCAGGTTATCCTACATAAATTTACAATCTTTATTTTTTTTTATTTTAAAAATATTTTATTTATTTATTCATGAGAGACACACACAGAGAGAGGCAGAAACACAGGCAGAGGGAGAAGCAGGCTCCACGCAGGGAGCCCGATGTGGGACTCGATCCCTGGACTCCAGGATCACGCCCCGGGCTGAAGGCAGGCTCCAAACCACTGAGCCACCCAGGGATCCCTACAATCTTTATTTTTTTTAAATGTGCTTAATATACGAACATCACGTCGGCCATCCCATATAAACATCAGTACAACAAGTACCACAACAAGGTCTGTGCTTTTTGTGCAAGACAGGTGTCCCAGCCACCCAGCCCTCCGCAACTCCTGGCAATCAGGTCCGTTTCCTAAAACCTCCCACCTCCAGGAGGTTTAACTGTTGGACTCCTGGCTTGACTCTTGTGGTTTCAACGATGGGAAGTGGAAATACCCTCTGACAACATGTCATGAACCGTTCACCGGGAGGTCGTTATGATAATGGGGCGTGGCAGGGCCAAGCCAGTCAGGGCCTCACCCAGGGGGAGCAGCCCAGACCTGCCCTGCCGGGCTGCAGAGCACCCCTCTCCACCGACAGCGGGACTCCAGCCTTGTACACCAGCAAGTGTCTCTACCTGGGCTCTGCTCATCCTGTGACGGATCCCCTGCAGACCCCCCCCGCCCCCCGCCCCCCGCCGGCCAGCGTCCCACCCCTTCACCACTGCAGAACCCACTCTATCTGGTTTCAATGAGTTCCACTCACATCCTGAAGCCTCCACTCACTTTATTCTAATGGGATTTTTGGCCGCTATGCAAATCGACCGAGGGAACGTCTATTTATTCACTCAAAAGATAAAATAAGAGGTAGGGTGTAATGAACTAATTCGTTGACTCAGTCAATAACGTGCCAGCGTTGTGCTGCGCGTCACAGTGGATGGGAAAAAGTTAGTTTGTGTCTGACATCAGACTGCGTCATTTTCCTACTTAAAATAGCCCAATTTCTACTTATATTAGAAAAAAAAATAGCAGAAAACAAACACCTGGGGAAAATCTCGTTTAAAATCACAATTGCTTTGTCTTTAGTTATGACTTATTTTAAAGTTGCACGAAAATACAAAGGTGATGAGATTGGTGAGTTTATGTTTCTTTTACTATGTTGCTTGCCCCACGATAGCCAAGGGGCTCAGCGGGCGCGGCCACCGCACCCCAGCAGGGGAAGTCTCCGCATCTAGCTACGTTCTCCGCAAACTTCGCGAGAATACAGCCGTCCCTTTGGCCCCTCCCCCAGGCAGCTCGCCACACCCACTTCTTGCCCGGCGATCTCCTGACGTCATAGGTGCGCCCGAGCGCTGGAAAGGCCGTACCGCGGGCGGAAATGTTCTCGGCGGAAGTGGTCGCTGCGCAAGTCGTGGGTGGAATGACTGCGGGCCGGCTCCTCCGAAGGCTGTTGCGAACACCTTCCAGGTCCATGGCACAGAGCGCAGTCGGTGGCGTGTGCCCCTCCAGGGGCTTGCACGCGGAGCTCGGGCCTCGAAGTCTCTCCATCGAAGGAAACATTGGTAAGGGCCGAAAAGTGGCTGCGGCCAGAGAGGCTGAGAAAGGGAGCTGGACCCAGACCACCTCTCCCAGTCCCAAACCCGCCCCCGCCCCCGCCGCCGCTTCCCCCGCAGTCTGTGCCGCGGGGCCTTTCACCTCCCAAAGAGGCCTTTGTCTTTTTGATTTTTAGGATGTCAGGCTTCAGTACTCTTCCACAGCCACGAAGTCTGTAGATAGGACAAGAGTTCTACCAGCTTGTGATCGAAATGGATGTGACAAAGAGCAAGGTGTAATTTCCTTGTTCTCCTAAGATAGGGTTGCCAGATTTAGGCGGGGAAAGGTGCTCATTTAAGATAGGATTTCAGGGGATCCCTGGGTGGCTCAGCGGTTCAGCGCCTGCCTTCGGCCCAGGGTGTGATCCTGGGGACCCGGGATCGGTCCCACGTCGGGCTCCCTGCATGGAGCCTGCTTCTCCCTCTGCCTGTGTCCCTGGCCCCCCTCTCTCTCTCTCATGAATAGATAAATAAAACCTTAAAATATATATATATATACACACATACACACACACACACACACACACATATATATATATATATGATAGGATTTCAGGTAACATACCATTTTAGTGTGTGTCCTATGCAATATTTGGGACATATGCTAGAAAAAATTATTAATCTACAATTAAAATTTCACTGGTGTCCTGTATTTTATCTGGCAGCCCTACCCTAAGAGTTCCCAAAATTCAGTTATTCAGATACCACTTACATTAATTTTACCATGTTTTTCTAATAGTCCCATATAATATCTTAGAAGAAACTCAAACTTTTAGACTTAAAACATGTATTAAAAGTAATTTCAAAAAAAATAAAAGTAACTTCATAAGAGTAGAGACCCAGTATCTTAAATAAAAAGCAATAAAAAAAAAAAAAAGAAAGCAAAACACTTCAGTTCACTATTAAATTCTGACTTGGCGCCTTTACTAGCTAAGGTGCTGAGCCCTAAAGGGATTAGCAGGTTTTGAGGATTGAATACATTCTAGCCACAAATTGAGAATTTCTCATTTTATTCATTCAGTAAATAACCCTTTGAGCAACTTCCGTATGCCAGCACTGTTCTTGGCCTTGAGGATAAAGCACCAAACAGAACAAATACAAATCTCTGCTCTTGTGGAACTCTAGTAGCCATAAGTAATAAACAATACAAATTAAGTAAACAGTATATTAGATAGTAATGAATGTGATGGAGAAAATTAAGGGATGAGGGATTAAGGGAAATCTGGGAGAAGAATCTTCCAGGCAGAGGGGAGACCAAGTGCAAAGACCTTGAGGTAGATAGTATGTTCAGGAAACAGGAGGAAAGCTGTTGTGGCTGGAACAGAGTGAGCAAGGAGGAGAATGAAATGGGATGAGATGTGAAGAAGGTAAGGGATGGATTGTATGGGTCTTGCAGTCCATGGTGGATTTTTACTTACCATTGGAAAAGGTTTAAGCTGTCAAGTGTCATGATTTGACTTAAATTATAAAAAGGTGACTGGCTGATATGTTGAAAGTAGAAGGTGTCAGTAGGTTATTGCAATGATGAGTTGCCATGAGTTGGAGCAGGGTAATAGCGGTACTGGTAAGAGACAGTTGGATTCCAGTTACCTTTTAAGGCAGGGCAAATTGGATTTGGTAGCAGATGTGGAATGGGAGACAAAAAAATCATTTTGGCCTGAGCAACTTGAAAAATGGGAGTTGCAAATTTTCTTAAATGGAGAAGGATGGGAAGAGCAGACTGGGGGCAGGGATGGCTTCAAGATTTTATCTTTAGGTGTGTTAGGTTTTTCTGTGCTTTTTATTAGATACCTAAGTGGAGATGTTGAAGAGCCAGTTGGATATGTAAGTCTGAAGTTCAGTCTCCCTGGACTGGAGGTACAAATGTAGATGGAATTTGAAGCCAGGAGACTGTGTGTGTTGATGGAAAGGACTAAGCCATGGGGCACCCACATGTTAAAGAGATTAGGGAAGGAACCAGGCGAAGGAGACTGAGAAGAAATGACCACCGAGGTCAGAGCAAAACCAAAAGAGAAAGAAGGATATCTGGAAGCCAAGTGAAGAAGATGTTCAGGGGATGGGAATGTTCAACTGTGGAATGCTGTTTAAGTAACAGAACTTTTTTTGGTGAACTTGAGAAGAACAATTTTTAGGGGTGGTAGGGGTGAATGTTTGACTGGCATAGTTTCAAGGAAAATGGGAGGTGAGGAATTAGGAGACCCGGGATTAAGACAACTGTTGGGAAGTTTTCCTGGAAAGAGGAGACATAGGGTGGTAGCTGAAATGGGAAGATGGTTGGAGGGGGTTGTTTCTAGTTTTTTCTTTTTGTGAGAGGAATTCGATCATGTTTGTAAGCTGGTGGGAATGGTCTAGTAAGTAGAGAGGGAAAAAATTGGTGAAGCAGGAGACAGGATGTAATTACTGGAGTGACTTTAGTAAGCAAGAAGGAATGGAATCTATTGCTGAAGTGGAGAGATTAGCCTAAGCTAGGAGCATGGTTTATCCCCATTAACAGTGTGAATGGCAACAGAAATGAGTACTGACTGGAGTAGGTGTGGTGGGAACTTGGAACTTTGGTGGTTTTCTCAGTGAAATAGGAAGAAGGCTCAGCTAAGCAGAATAAGCGTGAAGAGAGAGGAAAGACATGAATTAGTCTAGTGAGTGAGCAAGAAAAATGTAGAGCTGCCAGTTAGTAGTAAGGACCCACTTGGACCTAGTGGCCCTGAATCGAAAATGAGACCGGTCACCATGGCTGTGTGTTTCTCCAGCCGAATCAGAAACATCAAAAAGATTGAGAAGGGAGGGTCCTCCTCCCTGCCTGATGGTGTTAACCATGTTCTGTCTTTGGGAAACATGCCTCTAAAGGCAGCTCTGTTCTCAAGAGCCCAGAGAACTACTGACGTACTTCACACAGTAAGTACTTGGACACAGGCCATGGAATGAAGTTTGAGCTGCTCCCTCTCCCAATTTTCCTGACCTTTGCTTCTGAACCTTTCTAGATGTATATACTTGTTCCTTGCTTTCACTCAGACCAAGACTTACTGAATGCCTTATATTGAGGGCAGACTCACATGTGGTACAGTTCCTGTCCTATGAGGAGCTCATAACCAGGTGGGAGGAGCAGACTTCTAAACATAATCTCTGTACCATGTGATGAGTGTTTGTTTGGGCGTGGAAACTCCAAATCTCTGGGCTAGGAATCCCCAAGGGGAAGACAAGGAAGGAATGTTGCAGGTAGAGGAGGTAACATTTTCCAAGGTAAAGCCTGAAGATACATGCAGTTTTCATAATAGATGTGCCTGAATGGCAGAACAAGAGGCTGGAAGGGTAGACTTGCCAGATGTTGAAGAGCCTGTGCACCATGCTGCGTGGTGAGAGGCTACTGAAGACATGAGGCCAGCATGTGCCGTGACCAGATTAATTTTGAAAAAGAAGTTGGCCAGATGGAATGAACAGAAAGCTCCATAAAGCAGGCACTTATCTTGTTTGCTTACAATACCCAGAGCGCCAGGCATCCATTGTGTCGAGTGAATGAACAGGAACAGAATTTGGAGTAGATAGACCAGTTTTGTGGCTGTCATAGTATTTGGAGTGTGGGAAGATGCAGACTTGGACAGAGGGAATGGAAGGACAGAGAAAAATGGAGGTTTGAGAGGGATTTTGGAAGTGAGATTGACAGGACTAGGTGGCCACTTGGAGGTAAGGGTTAGAAGCATAGAAGTTGACAGGTTTACAGTTTGGATGCTACTGAAAACAGGATGGGAATAAAGGAAGAGGAAGTCTGGGGAGGTAAGAGTAAAATATTTGGTTATCAGGTGCCTCTGAGACCTACAGAGACAGATGTTCTGAGGTAAATTAGGAAATATGCCTGAAACCAGGAGAGATGGGATGGAGATTTCAGATAATGAGGCTGTTGATTGTGGGGGTGACTGTTGAAGCCTTGGGAGTGAATGCACTTGCCCAAGGAAAATGTGACTAATGGCGAGTGGACTGTGGGACCCTAATCTGGCTGTTCCAAGTTTTACCTCCTACTGCTCTCCATCACCCCACACACCATGATGACTGTCCTCCGGCAGAATTAGTCACTGCCTCCTCTGTGTGCTCTTGTAACATTTTGTACCCACAGCTGTTGCAGCACTTGAATTCTGTGGGGATTGTTTGCACATTCAACACCTTCTCTGGATTGGCCACTTAGTGTCTGGCTCATCTTTGCATCACCAGCCCCTAGCCCCCTGCCTGACCCATTGTATTTTTTCAGTGTTCATCAGATGCTTGACTCCTATGGTGTGGTACCATGTGGAAGTTAGTCATTGGTGCCCACGGAGGGAATATTTTAAACTGCTTTACAATCAAGTCAGGAGTGATCTCATTCTCTAATCACAGGTGACATCCCCAAACAAATTAGCACCTCTCCAGGACACCTGAATAGGGGAAGGTAAACCCCTGTCCTAACTCAAGTTAGATATATTTAGAGGGACTTTTGTAATAGTTGTGCTACTCTGAGTCTGTTGATCTGCTCCTTTAAGTACAGACCACAACATGTAAGGAAAATGGGTCAGTGAAGTAGCACCTAATGGCACCTAGTTTGAATTATGAAGGCATATGTCATGTGTGATTGAAAATCAAAAGCTTGGTGCCTACAATCCCTTAAAATGTAAGAAATAAAATAATCTATCCTGTAAGTGCATTCATGGCTGCAGTGTATTATTGCTTCCTAGTTAGTTATATATATATAAAAGCCGGTTATTTTATAATTACAGAACTCATTTGAAGAAAGGATTGCTGTATGAGCTCATTGCTGCTCATTCTGGCAGTGAGTCGTCTTAGAGCATTCTCACTTTGATTTTCAACCAAACCAAAAAAGAAGAAACGTTGTCACTTTCACAGTCTAGAGAGTTGTACATAAAGCAGAGGAGAGAGCTTCCCTAATAGCATGTTCTGTATATTCTGACGTCACTAATGTGCATCTATTGCTTTTATTGCATGTAAAT